TGGAAACTTACCTAGATTATGAGACTTACATCATTTTTCGAGAGGAAAATTCTTCGAGATAAGAACAACTACAAAATTAAGATTTTCTTTTAAACTTCGAAAAATCTTGAATCTCAGTTATAGAAGAATCATGGAAAATCAGAATATAATTTAATTTTCTTCAGATTTCAAAGATACCTACCGGATTTCTTATGTCCAGATACTGATGTTTGATGAAGAAAGAAAATTATAAAGCATTTATTTATATTTTTTCGATACCTCGGACTAATTAACTTCCAAGATCACGGAGTGAGATATGAAATCAACATTAAAGTCCCAATTTTAACTGAAAGAATGAACTTCAAACTTGAATGTTTGTGCCCTTTATTGAAACTAGATACTATTTGAATTTCTTTATACAAAACCTTATTGGGTTATTTTAATTTTTTTATTTGCAATGGCGTTAGCTTTGGTCGAACCCGTTCGGTGCCAATTTATTATTTACTAGTTTTTTAAAAGCTTTATTAGTGAGATTTTTAGCTTGTTGCCTAGTTCATCTCGTATTATTTACTGGTACTTTATGCAGATAAGAGAAAGCAAACTTATTGGACGCGAGTTAGAAGCTTCAGCTGAATTTTTATCCTGCTTCAAAATTCAACTAACTTTTGCATTTTTCCATTAATCAGGAAATTATGCCAAATGGAAACATCTGTTAATTAGTTTTTCCAAGAAAGACAAGAAACTCTCTGGGAGTTTTTAATGAGGATATAGAAAATTTCTTCATCACCTCGAGCTTTCATATTTTGAAACTTTTTAGTTATAGATCTTACTTCGTCCAAATAAGTCCCCTTGGAAGCATTAAAAATATTTTCCCGAGAGAAAATATTCAGAAAATCCCGAGCAAGCTGACTCTCAATCTAAGACCGTCTCAAGTAATACCCAAACTGAAATTATTGGAACTCCCGAATGATTTAGCAAGTTTCTGAGCTTTTTCCGAATTTGTGATCAAAATTTTACCATCTTCTTTAAGCGCTGGAATAGGTTTTTGTGGTTTTATCAAAATACGGTTTGGAACTCGGGTCTAAATTCGAAACATTATTTTCAAAATTTTTGTTCCTCAGAGCAGAGGATCGCTTTTTATTTTGTTTTTGCAAATACCGCCAGATAACTTTAATGGCAGAATCGCGAGTTGATATTGCCTCCTCCAGACATTTTTCAAGACGGATCAAGAGCTGAAGATCATCGACTAGTATAATTGAATCGAATTTAACCTTGCATTTTGGTACTGAGGCAGCTCTTGCTTCAACTATAGAAGTAGTCAGAGATTCAAGAGCATAATTAATTTCATCTTTGGTTTGCAAAGGAATGTTTGGATCGAAGTTATATTCCATAAATGTTCGATATTGCTCCCAATCAGCTCTATGGTAATTGAAAGCAGAGCTGTTGGGATTACAAATTATTTCTTGGGATATTTCAAAAGTTACTGGAAGGTGATCAGAACCGAAGTCAGCATGAGTAATCAATTGGCTACAAAGTTGACATGAATCAGTTAAGAACAAATCAATCGTTGACGGATTTCTTGCAGAAGAAGTGTATGTTGGGCTGTTTGGATATTGAATAGTGTAATAACCTGCAGAACAATCATCAAACAGAATATTACCATTGGAATTACTTTGAGCATTATTACATGAACGGTGTTTTGCATTAAAATCAAAAATAAGGAAGAATTTATGCCTATGACTAACCACTGAGAAAATTCTTTTGCTGGCTTACGCATTGAAAAGACAAGCTATAAACGTATGTTGTAAAAATATTGTTTCGATAGAAACTCCCAAAGTTTCAAAAACTTTGGTTTCAAATGAAGAAAGAATGTTATGTTTGATACGTCTATGAACAATAATGGCAACGCCACCACTGGCTCCGTCAAGACGAACATTTCAATAAATGAAATAATTTGCGTCCCTTTTAACCTATGGTCAGGTTAAAGGAACGTTTTAGTAATAACGGCGATATGCACGTTATGAAAAAATAAATAGCTCGTCCTTATTATCGTTTAGAAATCACATCATGCATCATTTTACAGAATTTTGTTGACGAAAAAAGTTAAAGGCAAATGGATGTAAATGAATGCCTGAAATGAAAGTAAATGATTTTCCATGCCTGCCTATGAGGACGAATGCAGAATTAGTTCCTCGCTGACCATTGTCAGCAGCTAATTCCTGCCTGATCAGTAATGTGAAGCGTTTCCTACCTGAGATTGTAGGATCGCTTTGCTAGTCTTACATTCCTAAAAATTGGATTTGTGGTTTTCACCACAATTCGAACATTTAAATTTCTTAGGATCATTCTTCACAGGACAGTCGTGAGTGGAAACACCACAATTCATGCTTTAAGCTGGCTGGCAGCAATTTTTTTCCGTGACCCCATCCCTGGCACTTACAGCACTGGGTGAGGTTTTGAAAATTTCCTCCAGTTTTTCTAAAGTGTTCCCACTTCTCTTGGACATGGTGCATAATGCTAGCTTTTTCTAAGGCCTTAATGTTGTTTAGTTCACTAGACTTGAAGTGAACTAAATAAAAATCATTAGAAACCAAGATGCGCGAAACGCCAAGACGGGATTTCATTTTCATTTTGATTACTTGGATTGGCTCAACTCCAAGTAATTGTGTCAATTGATCTTTGATCTGATCCAAGGATTCATCGCTGGGCAGATCTTTCAAGACAACCGTGAACAGACGTTCAGTTTTGGTGTCGTAAGTGTAAAATTTGTGTTTCTTCTCTGGAAGAGAGAAGACATTTGAATCCGTCCAAGGTTTCATCCAATACACGGCATTCATCCCGACGGCCAATTTGAATTGAAAACGTGAATTTAATAAGTTCAAAAGATCCGTGCGCAGAGCATGGAAATCAGAAGTGGTTATCACAATAAGGGGGACCTTTTCCTTCACGGCATGAAGCCAGGAATATTTAATAGGATTTCGCCTGGATGATGGCTAAATCTCATCATCCGTGAGCATTTCAAGTTGATTGTTAAAATTAATTTCATCGGAAGGGAGATCAAGAGATTACCCTTTTCTTTTGCGTTTAGGCACCATGGTGGCAGCAAAACGTTTCTCCAAATTGACTTCCATGCAGATTACTATAACAATCTGAAGGATCGAAGAGGCAGTTTCCAAATCGATATTAGGTACCCAGCATAAAATACATTTTAATATAACATCCAATCACATCGAACATATTATGTAATTTTTATGGCCACAAAAATAAACAATTGCAGTAAAAGCAGCGTAATGTCAGTTCATGCACTGTAGTAATGATAATTTTCCTTTTTGGCAAGTAATAGTGCACCATATTTTTGACACGATTGCAGCATCCACTTTTATGTGATATCAAAATTATTTTTTTGCTGCGCACATTGCTGTTCAAAACAGAGCTGTGTCATTTTGCCGAAGGACATGTCACCGAATGTGTTTCAGCGAATTTTAATCATTAGTCAATATACAATTAAATTGAATCTGGAACGCATTTAAATAATAGACATTCCCATGTAATGCAACTCGAAAGCATGCTTGGCATGCACAGTTGAACACACCAACTGCTCATTTGTTAATAACTTTTCACTCAGTTATTGAACTTTGTTTTTCTTTAAAGTAATTTATAGATATAAAACAAAACAAATACAAATAAGTTTATTACTAGAATTGAAGTTTACTGTGATTTACGTATCTACAACAAGCTAAAACTCTTTTCTATCTACTGCTTCAAAAATAACTATGTTTCCTTAACGGTTTGCAAAGTTATTAGCAAATGAGTAATTTGTGACCGAAACTGTGTATGCCAAGCATGCTTGAAAGAAGTGGAAAAGGAATGCGTAATATTATAAATTAAATTGAACTGCTATGAACTACAGTCACGAATGACCTTTAAAGTGTTAAAGTGACCATAATAAAAAAAAAATGTCCTTTTCGGCAAGTAATTTAACACCATATTTTCGACACGATTGAAGTAAATCCACTTTGATGTGATATTAAAATTAATTTTTTGCTGTGTAGGGTCTAAACAAGGATCGAAGAGGAATAAGAGTCGAACAAGCTAAAAAATTTGCAAGTTATACTGAAAAGTGCTGTTTAAATTTTTTGTAGCTGTATAGCAGTATTGCAAGTTTTATCAAGGTTTTAAAGCATTTTTTAAGTCCAAATCATGGGCAACAAGGCTGTGATTAAACAATAATGCATTTTAGGAAATTGATTTGCCCAAATGTTAAAATAATCCCCAGGATATTTATTCCAATTATGACCACCAACTGCTCAAGATAGATTAAACGATCACTGATTACTGATAGTGGATTTTGAATAAGAAAGATTGATGTAAATTGATATCAACACTTCTATTAACAAATTCACAATGATGAGGAGTGGTGATTAGATTCAGTTTATTAAACTTAAATGTATGGTAAAAATCAGTTTATAAAAATAAATTTATATGAAAAAGTATTGTCGCAAGTTACTATTTTGATTCCATGTGTGCTAGTATTTGAAAATTGATATCAAATTATAGGGGGCCCCGCAATAAAAAAAAATATGCAAGGACCCCCAAGGGTCCCATTCATTTTTATACAAAAAATTGCCCCTATGAAGGTGGTACCATGCTGTTAGTAGTGACGAGAGTAAATCTGACAACTTACATTAAGGCGAATGTGATCCAGTGAGTAAATACAAATTTCAAAAATTGCTTGCTTTGAGACATCAGACAGATTGGAAAATGCTCTTGTCGTTTTGTGCGAAATAATCAAAGGAAAAACAGCGACGAGAGCTTTTTTTCCAATTTGAACTGATGTCTTAGAGAAAACCGTTTTTAAAATTTGTATTTACTCACTAGGTCACTTCACCTTAATCAATTGCGCTGTTTCGTTAGAACGCACTTTGAATATGTGTATAGGCTGTGACAGTAATTCAATGTACCTTCCTACTCACGTTCTACCTAAATGTTTTTTTTTCTTTCTTCTACTTCTATCTCAACAGAGGACTTTGCTGTCAGGTGCAAAGAAGACATCGACAAGTGCCCCGTAAGGTAAGAATGAAAAAAAAGATAGCCGAATCAAGTCAAAATAGGATCACTGTATTAAGAAAATTGGATCGATTGAACACTGGCTCGGTGCAAAGCTATTACATACATCGTTTAGGCAAATGTGTCTTGAATTTGATTTCGGCTTCCATTTTCCTTTTCGAACAGGTCTGCTCGTACTTCAAGGACCCTCTACTGTGCATTGGAACTGTTGCTGCTGATCAGGTGAGACCGAGAGGCAAAAAAGCGTGGTACGAGATTGAACGTTAATTGGTTTTGCTCGCGTGTGAAGTGCAAATATTGTTACGCTCCGAGGCGTGGCAAGACGATCTTTGGACGTGAAGCAATGGTGGAGGTTGTTAAAATTATGGGAATTACTGAGAAAAAAATATGGCTCCTGTTAAATTGAATTGGTATAAAATTTAAGCGTTGCCATTTTCTCTTTGCCAGTTTACTTTCCAATTATAGTGCATTATTAAAGACTCGACACATTTTTCATGAAGCACAATTTTTCCAAATTTTAAAAGGTCAATTAACGAGCATAAACTTGCTGGAAAAATCACCTATATGTGATTATAACACCCATCAAATACGATTGAGCAATTGAGTCCTGAAGTTCTTAACAAAATTAAGCATAAATTTATTCGAACATCTTGATGAACATTTCAAAAGGTCCTATTTGCTATGATCGGTTCTCTTAATCGACTTTCTATTTTTATAACCACGGCTATTAGACTGATGCAAAATTTGAAATTTTCGCTCCATAGTGCTTAAACGGTTCCAAATTGAGTCCTGCTAGCCTCCCAAAATTTGAACTGCTTTAGTAAGAAACTTACTTGGCACAAACCCTTTCAAGTTTATATGGGAATTACTTTGGGAAAACTTATGTTTTTGTTCATATCTATCAAACAATTCACCACATCACTATGCTTTTAAAAATTATAGCAATTTTAGTTTAGTTACAACTTTGTTGAAAACTACTTTTCAATCAAATGTAAGGAACAAAAATTAATAATGATTCTAGTCACTGATGTCTTATGACTATGCTCATTCAACTGTTCAGCAGGCAACATTGGTGTTTCTGGTGCGAAGAATAGAGCACAAATATCATGGCTACTATGTCACACTGCAGAATACAGTGTTGCCCACAGAACAGCTGCTTGATCATGCCGTAATATTATCAATCTCTTCAACAATTAATAACAATTTAATTTGACATTTGGCTGAAAAACGATATGCAGCAAAGTTGTAGCTTAGATAATTTTCCGTAAGAATAGTTTTAGAAATTTTCTAAAAAACAATATGGAAAATGGGTAGAAGACAATGAGCAAGTTTGGTTTTCCCACACACTTAGTATTTTCTACCGAGCTCGGCTGTGCAAATCTCGACAAAAAAAGTTTTACTGAGATCTCAGCAAACATTTAATTTGTTTGCTGAGATTCAGCTAAGCATTATCCGAAACTCAGCAATCAAATGTCACTTATTTTTGCCGAGATTCGCACAGCCAAGCTCGGTAGAAAAAAAAATAAGTATGCATAGTAATTTCCATATAAACTTTGAATGGTTTGTGCAAAGTCAGTCATACCAAATGAGTTTAGATTTTGGGAGGCTAATCAGCACCTGATTTGAAACCGTTTGAGCACTGTGGAGCGAAAATTTCAAATTTTGCATCAGTCTAACGGCTATACAAACAGATTTCACACTATTTTTGCAACATATTTTGATAAAGGATATTCTCATCTAGCACCCAGACCATCAAATACAATAGCTTTCGTTGCAGCTGAGTTATTAACTAAAGAGAAAGTCGACGAAGAGAATCGATCAAAGCAGATAGGACATTTTGAATTATTCGTCTAGGAAGACTTTGTCAATTACATAGTATGAATAAAAAGGCAGTAATGAGAGCAGGCTTATACCCCATACAGACTATGCCTTATATCATGTATTATAGGCTTTCTTGCAATGAGCACTCATACATAGGATATTCAGTGAAAACTAGATGCATGAGTGCTCATTGCAAGACAGCCTATATTGCATGATATTAGACATAGTCTGTACGGGGTATTACGTAAAATATTTAAACAAGTGGATGGTTAATGATAGTTATGAAGTGTTTCAAACTAAGTAGCATTAGCATCCTAAAATAATAAAATAAAATCTGTAAGAAGCTAGTTTTTGAAGCAGAATCGAAGTTTTTTTTAATCAATCAAAACTATGCTTTAATTAACTTAAATAAGAGGCAGCGCAAAAGTGACGTCAAAAGTTGTCAATACACAAGCTGACACAAGCTACAGGATCCCTTACTCCCCTTCAGAAAATAAATTAAATATTTTATGAACAACCCTTAAGTTGTAAGTTTCATATGCAAACACATAAGTGGCTGTCCCTAAACTACGTGTGGAACACAAGTGAGCGATGGTTTCAAAACTAGACATTCAAAGGGAGATGATATTTTCTCACATGAGAAAAGTCTTGTTTTTTTTTCAATTAAAGACCCTTAAATATTTGTGTTTACACTTTTAAATCTTTAATAAAATGCTTCATATCTATTAATCTGCAAACATTTCATTGTGTATCAATCTTCATCGATAATTTTTGATTTTGATTTTGTGACTATGGAAGTTTACTAATATTAAAGTGAGAATAATGGATATACCTTATACCACTCGTGAATGAGCCGTTTTTAAGCAGTTTGTAGGCAACCCCTCAAATATAAAATATTATTTTGAAACAACCTTATCGTTAGATAGATTGCTGTTTGTTCTGCTTTCTGAAAATTGATTTTGATTTCTAATAAAAATTAATGAAACATTGTAGCCCAATAACACTATTTCTTGAACAATTGAGAACATACTTCCTTCTATATTTTGTTCTACCTACCACTATCTCTTTCCATTTGTATCTGTTGGAATAATCCTGTTTGTCCCTTGAATGTGCATCTACAGTACGGTCTAAATCAACCGGTTGCACTTCCACTTTTATCGTCTATTTTGAATCACAGATTTTCTGTGCTTTGAACAGATTTTCTGATTAACTAACTTAGTTTTCCTACTTTATAGCTAATGCCTTAAATACAGGAGACCCCATTTTGTCATAATTATTGACGAGAAAAATGTCAACACGATAGCATTGTATAATTCTTCAATGCATGACGTGTAAATATTTACATCATTGACTAATCTCAGGTAATCAAGACATTTTGATCTTTGAAAACAACGCGAATGAAAAAAAAAGACCTACTGCGTCAGAATCTGTCATGATTACCTGAGTTTAAAAAAAAACGTAAATAATTACGCTGCATGCAGTGAAGAATATCTGAACAAGAAATAAGATAGTCTTTCAAATGTTTCAATCAGCCTACTTGACTAAGCAGTGTTAAATCCTCAACTAATCTAACACCAACAAAATCATCGGGTCGGATCCAACATTTTCTAAAGTTTTTTTTAAGTAACGAAGTCTGATAGTTTTTGGTATTCAATTGACTTCAAGAATAACCCAACTAACATTTTCAGCTTTGTAAGCCAACTTTTCCAGCGTTGTGCTGTAAAGTAGCTGAAAAGAAGCTGCAGATACAGCTACAAGCAAAAGCTAGCAAAATAGTTTTGGATAGCGTTTATTCAACTTTCTCACAACCATTATTCAATTTGTCAGTCGCACTGAATAACATCAGCCAATAAACGCTAATGTCACTTCTATACACACACTAATCAACTTTCAACTTGTAGCTGCAAAACAAAGCTAACAAAGTGAATGTATTACTCATGTGATGGCTTCTTCACAACCAACCACTCTTGCTGAATAACATAAACATCAAAAGTGCTTTTTCAACAACTAAACAACCTGTACTCAGCTTATAAACTGTGTTAGAGCAACTTTGGAAACATTTTCACAATCAACTAGGTTTATTTTTAGACGTGTGCAGTTTTACAGCTTTTACTCTGCTCTTTTATAACTGGTCGAGAAAAGTGATTCGTGTGCACTATTATAAAGCCTCTATTCAGCGATTTTGTTGGAGAAGGGAATGTTGATTTGTTTACATAAGTTCAAAGGGTTGGCGTAGCGAAGTTGTTAGTGTCAAGGTTTGTCAATGAGGTCGTCTCGAGTTCGATTCCAGGTTCGCGTGCAGGGTAAATAATTTGGTGATGATTTGTAACTAATTTCGATTAATTTGATTCACAGCAAAATAAACTCAATAAATTCCTTCATAAAAAAGCGTAAACAGTATTTAACCCGGCTTCAAGAGGAAGCTGTGTAGTGATTATTGGATAACCGGGAAAAGGTTGAATAGGCACCTTTCAAGTTGACACACAACTAAACAGCAGGATAACAGCTGTATAGAAGCGCTAATGGATATGCAATAAGAGCTTCTCCCGACCGTTCCAACAGCCATAAGTAGCTGACTAAGTTCGCCAGATTTGCTTGCGTAGAAGTTGAGTAAAGGTTTCCTCATATCGTATAACGTTTGAATACAGCTTGAGGCTGTATAAATGAAATGAGTAAAGCGTTTACATTGTGAAAATTGTTAGTTGGGAAATTACCAATTTCTAATATTACAAATGAAATGGAATCCTTTAGCCTTAGCCCAGTAGGGTAACCAATGAAGTTCAAAATCCTGGGACTGAGTGAAGTCCAATGGCTGAACTTTGGGGTACACAAGCTGCCGTCGGGACAGGTACTGTTGTATTCCGGAATTTGAAGTGAAAAAGCTACCCCGCACAGTGGAGTTGGTATCCCACTTAACGTTCAGGCAAATGCTGCGTGCATCAAGAGGAAACCTTTCAATGAGGAGGATAATCGTTGCCAGATTTAGAAGACGGTTTCGAAGATTTTCCTAAATCGTCCCGTTTTCTCATATAACCGCCATGATACAGGCACGGTCGTAGCAAAAATCAATACGAAACTAACGATTTAAAATTGGTTCACTACTTGACTAGCCTATTGGTCCCAAGCAAACGATTAACGTACCCCATTCTAGTCGAAATTCTAGTACTACGCAATGTTTGTTTTGATTCGCTATGAAAGTTTGACAGATAAAATGAGGGGTTATTGGTTTTTTCCTATGTTTCGAGGGGTGGATCTATTAGCTTGGGACCGAAGAGAGTACCAGAGCTGAGCCAAAAAGTTGAGCACGTTATTTCGGGACCTTCTAGTCTTAGAGTTACCTCTATGGTCTTAGTGCCAGTAGTGAGCATAATGTAAACAGGTTTCAGCATCTAGCATCATAT